GGTTGCGGGGGGAGGAGGGGGGAGATGCGGGCAGCCGAGGTGCCCACGCGTGTCGGCGGCCGCTCACCCCCCCGCAGCCCCCCCCTCTTCTCCAGCGCGGCGGAAGGCGGCGGGGGGGGTTCCCGCGCGTGTCCCCGGTTCCCGCGTGGGTCCGGTGCGACCGCGGCGGCTTCCGTACACCCGGGGGACCGGCTCCTCGGCGGGGGGCAGCGCCCACGCGAGTTCCCCCTCGGCCCCGTGAGTGATTCCCCGCCGAGCTCGGTGTCCCGGGGCCGGGCCCGGTACCCGGTGCCGGTCCCCGCTCCCGGGGACGCTCCGGTTGAGTGCGGCGGCCGCGACAGGCTTTCTCAGCGCGGTCTCTGTGGCGCAATCGGTTAGCGCGTTCGGCTGTTAACCGAAAGGTTGGTGGTTCGAGCCCACCCAGGGACGGTGCCACCCTTTTTTTTTTTTCCTTTTCTTTTTTTTTTCGCCCCCCTCCTCATTTTTTCCAGGAGGCGACCGAGGGTGGACACGGCGAGGGGGGCGACAAGCGGCGGTGACCGGTCCCGGCCCCCGGTGGGGGCGAGCAGGGGGATTTTTCACCGTGCGGTGTTTGGAGGGGGGCTTTCCCCGCTCTCCTGGGGGGCTCCTCGCCCTCAGGGCCCGGGCTGAGCTGGACGGGTTGAAGGTGGGAAGGGGCAGGATGTGGCCCCGGTGCCCCCCCCGTGAGCTCCCAGCTCTTTCCGAGGCACTGGGAGGGGGAGGAAACCAGCCCCCAGTGTGAACAGAACCATTTCTGCTCAGCCCGCGGCCCCCTCTGCTCCCCAGTTTCTCCCATAAACAAAAGGACACGCTGGGACATTAAAACCAGAGCAGAGAATTAAAAGCTTCTTTCCATCCGGAGCCTGTATTTTGCCTTCAAAAATAAAAAAAAAAGCTGAAGGGGGTCCAAACCCCGCCTTGCTGAAGTTCGTATTTTGCCTTCAAAAATAAAAAAAAAAAGCTGAAGGGGGTCCAAACCCCGCCTTGCTGAAGTTCCCTTCGCTTCCAAAGTCTTGTAAAATCTATTCCCGTTCCCCTCTTGCCTGGATTTTATTTTCATTCCAGTGATAACGAGGTGGATGTTTTGACGCGGGGCACGAAGCCGCGCCGGGAAGATCCCTCTTCTTTCCAAAAACCCAGAGCCACAAAATGCCCCCCCGGTGCCAGGGCTGGGCCAGGGAGGGGGAATTGCTGCTGTTTTCCCCATCCCAGAGCACGATCCCGGTGGGAAAGCGGAGAGAGAAGCAGTGCCCAGTGGGGATCACCCCCCTCCTGTTCCCCCCTCCTCCAAAATCCGCCTGGAGAGATATTCCCGTCTGGCTCTGCTGCCCCTTCTCTCCCCGGGGTGTTCCCACCAGACGGAGCTGGGCCTCTGGCTTCATCCCAGCGAAAAAACCCTTTTACAATGGAAAATGCCTTAAAAAACCAGCAGCCACGGGCCGGGCTGTGCCTTCGGGCCTCTGTCGCGGGCGGATGAACGGCCCCTTCATGGGTCCGGGGGGGGGTTTTCATTGAAACCAGGCGGGTCGATCCATTGGGGATTTGAGCGTGTTTCCAAACACATGGAGCTCTTTCCCTTTGGCTCGACATCACTCCCCAAAATTAAGCGTTTAATCCCGTCTCCTGCAGGAGAGGGGGGGGGCTGGCGGGCGGGGAGGGGGGAGGAAATCCAGAGCACAAATCCCCCCCATTTAATCTTCCTAATTTAAAAAAAAATATACCCTCACGGCCACTCGCCAGGTCCCCTCCCCACCCCGGGATGTGCCAGGACTCGCTGCTTTATGGAGTGACTTTACGGAGTGACTTTAACGTGGTGGCACTTCCCAAGGGATGATTTCCCCTCCTCCGAGCCCCGCTGTCCCCGGTCCCACAGGGCAAATGTAGGGCTCTGTCCCCGAATCCCAAAACCCACCCCTGAGGGTGGGGGGTGCAGCTGCCGGCTGGGTTTCTCGAGGTTTCCCAGTTAAATTCAGCCAGGTTTGGCCAACTTTTCCCAGTGCCCAGTAGAAGGTGCCAGGGTTGAGCTGGGGGGCAAGTCCCAGCCTGGTCACCTGCTGTGACTCCGGCCTGGCCACGGGCACGCAGGGAACGGGCATGTGTGTGCCACACAGGGGTCACAGCCTCGGGGACACACACACCCCGAGTGCCACTGAGTGATGGGGTGGCCGTACCCACCTGCCACCTCTGCAGTGCCCCTGCATGTCCCTCCAGATGTGCCATGTCCCCATGGGCACATCCAGCTGTGCTGTGTCCTGTGTGTCCCTCCAGCTGTGCCATATCCCCATGGGCACATCCAGCTGTGCCATGCCCTGTGTGTTCCTCCAGATGTGCCATCCCCCTATGGGCACATCCAGCTGTGTTGTGCCCTGCATATCCCTCCAGCTGTGCCATCCCCCTATGGGCACATCCAGCTGTGCCATGCCCTGTGTGTTCCTCCAGATGTGCCATCCCCCTATGGGCACATGCAGCTGTGCCATGTCCTGCTTGTCCCTCCACATGTGCCATGCCTCTATGGGCACTTCCAGATGTGCCATGCCCTGTGTGTCCTTCCAGATGTGCCATATCCCCATGGGCACATCCAGCTGTGCTGTGTCCTGTGTGTCCGTCCAGATGTGCCACACATCTATGGGCACATCCAGCTGTGCCATACCCCCATGGGCACATCCAGCTGTGTCATGCCCTGTGTGTCCCTCCAGCTGTGCCATGCCCTGTGTGTCCCTCCAGCTGTGCCATATCCTTATGGACACCTCCAGCTGTGCCATCCCCCTATGGGCACATCCAGCTGCGCATCCCGGCGCTCCCAGCCCCGCCCCTCCCGCGCAGTCCGCCTCCTTCCCGGCATGCCCCGCTCACTGCCCCGCTCACTGCCCCGCTCACTATGACTCTTCATTTTCCTCCCTCCCCACCGCCCCAACCAACCAGCTCCGCCCCGCCTCGGGCCCATCCACCAATAACGAGCGGCGCTTCGCCGGGAGGCCGCGGCGGGGGCCAATGGGAGGCGGCGGGAGGCGGGAGCAGCGGCGCGGCGGGGGCGGGGGGCGGTGCGGCCGGCGCAGTGGAGCGGGGTCTGTGA